GACTGATGGACTGATGGACTGATGGACTGATGGACTGATGGACTGATGGACTGAACGAAGGACTAATTGCTGGCTGACAGACTAATCGACGAACTGACGATAGTAGAACGAAAACATGCAGTAAACGAGTGACCGACCAACCAAATGCTTTCCTGACCAATCTATGATTTGAGAAACGTAGCATTTACATCGCCTAAGCTATGTTTACTTTATAGAGCCGCCGATATTTACCAAGAAACCTGCTTCACAAGTCCTGGCTGAGTTAGGATCCAATTTGACACTCTGCCCAACAGTCACTAAACTTGTCGCCTGCTTTTCAGCAAAACGGTTGTCTTACAGTCAGCAATGTGAAGGAAGAAAGTGCTGGTAAATATACTTGTCGCGCTACCAACAGCTTTGGATTCGCAGAGTCGACTACTGCAGTGATCGTGACAGGTTGGTTCTGACAGTTTTTTTGTTCACATTTAAGTCATGGGTTCTTGCTGTTGTTTGGCACGATCAATATACAACGAACTCTGAACCATAACAGTGAAAGTAAAACAGGCGAGGCACTTATTTTAAGTAGTCGCGGGTACCTGTTATGGCTTCCATTAAGCCAGGTAGAGCTTGTATTTTTTAAGGGAATCCCTTTCAAGTTATTTTTAGATCAATCTCGACTATGGAACCCCAAGAGGTTCTAGAAAAAGCCAATCCTGTGACCGGAATTTTGCTCACGTGGACAATCCACTGATATCGATGAAAACCACAAGACTATAGATACCAAGCAGACATCTTAGGTCGCTCGCCTCGGTCCATCGCAGCATCACGTTATTCTAAGGCACGAATTTGAATGCAAAATCCTACAGCCATATGCTATACTGTAAGTTCTCATTACGTATCAAGACATTATTGCTCGATAGCAACATCAGATTATAGGAGATGAACACTACTGACCAGCAATCAAGGCACATGTTTCCCACGTGGTATGATATCAAAAAATAATGTACCGTCTGTTTAATTTGTGACATTATTTAAATACCGTATTTCTTGCATATTATATCTTGCAGTGGGTGACTCATGTGAGGACTGGAATAAAAGATACGGCACCACGACAGCTGGAAAGCACATTATTACAGCTAAAAATAAATTTTTTGAGGTACGTCTACTTCAGTCGCTTACGTTTTGCATGTGTTAATGATCTATAAGCTACCGCTATTGCAAGGGCTTCCTGCTATTAAAACTGGGTCAACATACTCTCAGTCCCTTTTTAGACCTGGACAAGATCGAGCGGTCCGGATTCGAGCCCTGGCCGGGGACATCTTGTTGTATTCTCGATGAGACACTTGAAACGAAAAGATAAGCGCCGGCCTGATGAACCACTTGGCTTGTTTGTAAACTTCACCTTTAACTTATAAGAGAAATGATGTGTTTCTCAGCTGACTGAACTGAGATCTTAGATTGGGAAAATTTTAATTACTGATAGCTGACAAATGAGCTGAAATTGCAACTCCCATAACCTCCATCACAACCCTCTAATATTACAAAACAGGGGCGGATCCAGGATTTTTCAAAGGTGCGTGGCTGGTACATCAATGGGACATGTCTCCAAAATATTGCAATTTGAGAATTGGAGTCTCATTTGAAACTGTTACACCAGAAATACTGGCAATGCGACAAAGTAGAAATTACAATAAAGTACCCGTCCAGAGTTTTTGCCTTTATTTCTGCCATAACATTCACGATATTTATCAATTTCTGTCATGTTTTGCTCCTCCAAAATGGGATGGCTAGCCAACTAATCCAATCCCCCCCTTCTCTCGCTAAATCCGTCCCTGCTAAAGAAGGGATTGCAAGTTATAACATTTTCGTCATATAAAGTTCCCTCTCGTCCACGTTTTCAAAAACTACATGTAAATTTATCGGGCATTAAACAAATTAACGAATTTCTTGTTAGCACTTTCTGTTTCAGTCTTAGGTCAAAATCATGACTCCAGGTGTATCGCAATGGTTTCCGTATAGAAAATACTCAAGTCCATAAATATTATAGAGGGAAGTCCAATAATCTACACAAAAGGTTTAATAGGACAAATTTGGGTGTTTACTCGGCAAGAAATAAAGTAATTAATATATGAAAAACTATTCCACATGAAATAAAACAGTCTATTTCAATAAAAGTGTTTAAAAAATTAAGCAGTTCTTACTATTAGAATAATTTTCTCTTATTGCAATCTAAAATTAGTACTAGGTTACGATTCTCACATGTTGATTTGAAATAATGTAATACATGAGCTGTCATTATTTGCTTATCCCTGATACCAAATTTATAAGACATTTTGTATTTAAGGTCATTATTTAGGGGACTACTTTGTAAAAACCTGTTAAGTTTTCTTTAGTTCTCCATTTATTCATATTTTTCTTAATTTAATGTAACATGCATCGACCGAAATGGAAGTAAACTTGATTGTGCATTTTAAACTTACTCTAATCTCTCCCTATAAATCAGGTATACTGTGACGTGCAGGGTTGGACATTGATAGCTCGATTTTCAAACACCGACAACAAGAACTGGATGGATGACCAGGGGGAATGGTGGTATGATCACGAAACGACCGTCGGAAAGACAACAGATCCGTTCAGTAATGCTGACATGATCTCACCCGCATTCTGGTTGGTCAGCGGCAGAGAGTTTAAGATCACGCGCAGTGATGACCAGAATCACGCTTCTTTGTTGCAGACCACAGGTAACTGTTTAGCTGGACAAACATTCCGATCAAAAATCACAAGTTATGGCGACTTTAGAAATGGCAAAGTTTGGGCCAGTGACCGGTGCCTGGGAAGCTGCACGGTTAAATATGGCGGTCAGTATAAGTCAACAGACGGGTTTCAACAGGCTGAGTGCAGTGGAAACATCCAAAGCGCCAACAACATCGGCTTCT